CAAAACAGACGGTTTATTTAATCTCAAAAAGTCTTTTTTCTGCTCAGTCTTGAATTTTCTTTAAAGTTTTATGGTGAAAATTTATTATATAACGATTGCTGTGAAATTGTAGCTTCATATATCAAACATTTTTAAAATGGAAAAAATCATATTGCAAAAGAAAACTAGCGGCAGTTTCATTGTTTCATGGCAACATGTAGAATATGTTTCATCCAAAAATGACAGGAAGTCTGTTTTTATGCAAATTTCATTTGTGCCACAGAAACACGCACGTTAGTCGGTCGTCCAACAGAAACAGAACAAAACGTTTCCACTTCAGTTTGTTCTGTTAAATATATGCATGTTTGTCATATTTAAGACCCACTTTGTTCACATTCACAAGTTGTTGGTTTTTTTCAATATTTATATTTAAGCCACTCACAGGTTTCAAAATACAGGAAACAAAAACAAACATGCTGGAAATGAGTAGACGGGCCATTTTAAAAAATCATATATATATTAAAAAACAAGTATTTGATATATAAAGCTATAAATTCACGGTAATTATTATATTTATCCAGACTTTGGGCCCTAAAGCAAATTATCTGTTGAAAGAATACTTTGAAGTCCTCTCCTCGGACAAGTTGTGAGGATGTTTGTTTTGTCTCTCGGTGTGTGTTGTTGAGTAAAATAAGAGCCTGTGTGAGTGTGGCTGGCTCTGATTATCCATCAGAGAATAATACATTTACAGCAGCTGTTCCTAAATCTACACACTCAGAGGAGGCTGCAGGGCTCTGTGTGAAATACAGTTTCAGCAGCAGACAAAGTGCCGTTTCAGCGACTTGATGTTTGTTTGGCGCATGCACGCCGTATGCACACTGTATGCACACTGTATGCACACTGTATGCACGCCGTATGCACACTGTATGCACACTGTATGCACGCCGTATGCACACTGTGTGCACACTGTATGCACACTGTATGCACGCCGTATGCACACTGTATGCACACTGTATGCACACTGTATGCACGCCGTATGCACGCCGTATGCACGCCGTATGCACGCTTGCTCTGGTAGACACTCTGTTGAAAGGGCTCTTTTGAACTTTGGGGCAGTGCTGGTCTTTTGTTGTCTGTCTCTCGCCCACGCACTCTACACCCCCTCTCACTCTCCCAGCATCCACCCATCCCCGTCCTCCAACCGCAGCTACAGGCTCTTTCATCTACCCTCTGCTGGATGATGGATGGAGTATGTGTGTGTTTGTGTTCCCGGCAGCAGCCAAGAGACGAACCTTTGACCTTTGACCTTGTGTGTTGTTGTCATTCATTGGTCTCTCTTGTTCACATCAGGGGTCTGAACATGTGAAATGACTGCTGCTTCTGCTGCTTGTAAATGGGAGATGTGTATATATACATGAACTCATCCTTGCTGTGACATGTGTACGAGGAGTAAAGCGAGATGAGTCTGGGCCCTGGAGTCCTTCTAAATGGCATCAGAATGATATTACAATACTAATGACTCGAGTATCATTTGCTCAGGTCCCTGATGAGAGAGATGCAGGAGCTCGAACAGTATCACACAAAGCTGGAATACATCTGATGTCTTCCTGCAACTTTCTAGCTTAAATACATGTATATACGATGTGTGCTAGGACATCATGTTTTGATGTTTTAGTTACAATCTTAAGATCTGGTAAATGAGTGAAGGGAATGCCCTTTCCCCCCATTATGTTGTCATGTGTGTAATGGCACGTGAAATAGGCCCAAAGATTTCCTTGTTAAGGGTTTTTCAAAAGGACCGTGGCCCTAATAGAATTCCTGAGATTGACATCCAGCTGTATCCACGGCAGTAAAACGAGGCGCGCGATGCTGGACCGTTCAGCAATGTACACACAAACAAAACAAAACACACACACATGCGCGCACACAGCACCGCATCAGGAATCGCAGAAAGGAGGAAGAGGAGCTAAGCTCTCCTCTTTCATGAGCTGCACAGTAAAATTAGACGAGAGGTGGATGTAAACAGAAGGAGAGCGTGTATCTTCAAAACAACACGCTGTGCTGCATTTACACATGAAAGTGATGATTTTACTGGTGAATACACGTGAAAGAAATGCTTTTTTTTGATAATTCATTCTTTTATAGTCGTTAATAGAAGCTCATTTTTTTAGGTTGTCTTGAGGCTCCAGCTGCTTTTCCCCTCTCTCAGCAGAAGCCTTGTTTGTCACTATTTTCTGGCCCTTGTCCATCTCCTGCTCGCCCTGAGGCCAAAGTCCACTCAGCTGTAATCACTCCTCTTTAGCCTGCCAGCCCACACAGGACCTTTGCACTGTCACTGCTACTTTTTATACTGAGGGAAGAGCTGAAGCAGTTTGAGCTCCCTCGCAGGAGCAACGGCAGACTAAACAGACAGCTAGAGGAAGCCTTACTATATGTAAGAAATGTCTGGTAAGGACACTAATATAATTCAGGCTGAACCTTCTCTCAGATACAGTTACAAATGCTTATTGCCTGAAGTCTGCTGTTGCCTGAAGCACCATACAGGCAAATACATGGATGCCTGTTTCCCTGAAAGCTTTCTGGCTGTGTCAGCACAGCTGAGTGTGAACTTCTTATAGGGAACAATCATGGTGCTTGTGTGCACCTTTGTTCTTCACAGCAGGTGTTTACATGTCTGTGGACTACAGAGAAGCAGCTTTGAATACAATGTTCAGAAAAAGGTTTGTGAACTGTGTGAATTTATGACGATCACTTGAAATGTGGTCTGTGCTTCATCGAAGCACCAGGCAAACACTATTTAACTAAACCAGTAACACAGAAGCTGCGTTTTTCATGTCTTTGAACACAGTGAACACAATTATTTATAGTGCAGGCTGGAAAAAGTAAGCGAGCACTTATATATTTGGTTATTTCTCAGCAACCACTTCCATCAGACATGTCCTGTAGCTGCTGATGGATTTTAGGGCTGATGACTCTGCAACTGCAAGGTGCACAGACACTGATGAAGCACCCAAAGTTTAATGGTTTCTCCACAGTGGTTCCCAAACCCCCTCCCAGCAGCTACAGACAGATCAGTTTGTGGTGATTTCTGCTCGCGCACTTCAGGATTACACATCATGCAGAGAGCGGCTAACACTCCTCGTTTTCCTTCCTGTGTAGACGATTGCTGACTGATGAACAGACGGGTCCTAAGAAATGCTTTAATGTTTGTGGATCTCGTTACTTCTTCCTGTGTGAAAGTCGTGACTGACATCAACCAGCTTCAGTGCGTTTATGGGATGGATTCTTCCACAACAACATCATCATTTAGTTGTTGTCTTACTTTTACAAACCGAGTCATCACCCCGAGTACAGACCTGAACTCAGAGTGATGACTCGGTTTGTTCAATCGTGGAGACTTTACTGTTGTTTACAAACACACTCCTTTGAAACTGTGCAAAGAGAGCTGCGATGCGAGCAGCGTGTGCACGCCGGTCACCTCAGTGGAGCAAGCTCGTCTTTGTGAACTATTAACTGCTGTTTTCCTCAGTATTAACAAGAAAAAAGAGAAGAACTTCAAATTCAGGTACAAGCTGCTCGCTACGGCGCACCAGTCACTCTGAACTCGTACAAATTTATTTTATTCTGTTGCTGAATTTCATTTTTTTTCAGCAAATCTAAACATGAAATAAAAATATATGATACATTTAATGATTTCATAATGAAATCCACTATCAGACATGATATTGTGAGATATATTTGCTGAAGCTTAAAAATAATATTAAGGATTTGCTCTTTAAACTAAAGTGCAAACTGTAAGAGGGCCCTCAGTTTGTGATTTAGTCAAATGTCACTGTAACATTATATTGTTAGAGTAATGGTACTATCGCTGACTTTAATACGCAGCTATCCGTGTCATTTAAATATATTACCTCCACCTTTCTATAAGAGACTCAGGTAAACGGTGATCCTGTTGCACAGCCAGCAGCAGGGTGGATACCTGTAGGTCCTCGCGGGCTCGTGCCGTCACATCCATCACAATAAAGGTTGTTTGTGTTGAGCACAGCTTTGCTCTGTGGCATTTAAGGGCCCTTAAAGGACAGTTGAAGCCTGCTGTAATGAATAACCCATCAGCTATGCCAGGGCTCCCAGCCGCTGCCGGGGCCCGATCTGTCACATCGATCATCTGCCGCGGGGCCCGCACGGCACAAAGGGAGTGGCGCCCGGCCAGAGGAGGGGGACATATAGGAGTGTGTCCAAAAAAGGGGGAGTGGTTTGATTGTCTTCGGTCATGTTTGTGTGGTTAGTGGCACTAAGAGATGTGTAACGATTGGGGGGGGGGAGTTTTAGACTCTATGTTCTTAAAAGCTGCTCAGGAGCAACTATGAAGGGAATGAGAGGTGGAGGC